ACCAAACTCACCGACCTTGCCTCCAGCCTCCACTCTGCTTCCAATTCCAACCCATTCTCTTCAATACTAACAAACCCCCTCCTCACCTGGCTCTGGCCCATTGCAGGCCCCATAATAATCATTCTTCTCGCCTGTCTCTTCTTACCCTGTATAATAAAGTTCATCAAATCCCAAGTCGGAAAAATCTCTAATCAAGCTTTCAACCAGCTTTTACTCAGGAACTACCAGCTTCTGGCCACAAAAGATCCCTCACCCTCACGTGACCTCCTCACCACACACTGAGATGGACCCCTCTCTCCGCTGGAAACTGTTCCTGGAAACAATGGCTGCAGACGCCTGGCTCCTGACACCCATATCCTCTTGGCACCATTGGAATCAACAGGTCCTCAACCTATGGTTACAGGGAACCTTCATTGATTTCCAAACCTGAGGAAGTCCACATCTATTCATCCTTACTATGGGGAGTCCTATCAACCCTTTCCTCCCAATCCTCAAGCCCTCACTCCCTTCTCCGCCCCTGTTCAGCAGGAAGCAGCCAGAGAGAAAGCAACATCCACAACCCCATAGAGGAGAAAGGGGGGAATGAAGGGGCCCCACCAGTAAGATGGCAAACTTCCGGCTTCTCTTCGGGGGTCCTTAGTTCCTGCCGGCACCACCTGAAGCCCAATCACCTCTCGCCCCACTCCCAATCCCAGCACCTAGCCAACAGCCACCAGCCCTGTAGAAGTAACACCACAATTACCCCATGCCCCTTCCTATATAACCCAGCACCTTTCCCTAATAAAGCAGAATTCTCCGGTGAATTGCTGCTGTGTGTCGCTCCTTTCCTTTCACTTTCAACCACAAAGTCAGACTGGGAGGTTAAATTCTTAACAGCATAAAAATAGACTACTTCTGAAAAATGTCCCAAGGTCACTGCATATGAATTATTATGAATGGTTTTTTAAAAAGAATACTTACGACTACTTCCAAGTTCTTCAAACAGGAACTTCACTTTTTCCCATTCTGTAGAATTTTTGTTACTGGGAACATTCAGTGGAACAAAAGCACTACAAAGGAGAAATTAACTCTGTTTAATGGTTTTAAAGATAAAAAGTTGAATGAAAGGAAATCATCTAAGACTCAATTTTTAGCTTTTCTTATACAAATATCTTCTCCCTCAAAAGAATTAACATATCAAACCTGTACCACTACTAAGGGGTATGACAAGTTTCTTACTGAGGTGTTTACTCTATTACAAAATTAAGTTTTATTACTGTATTTAGTATAATAGTTTCCTTTAATCCTATGCATTTTATTTTTTGCATTTAAAAATACTTTCAGAATGAACCATAGGCTAAAGATAATCAAAAAGGTCCACAGTATAAAAAGGGTTAAGAATCTCTGTGTTCAACGTGGAGAAAAGAAAATAAATATATGTAATTGTTTCAATATTTATACCTATGGAAAAGAACAGAAATATACCAAAATAAGTATCTTATTGTGGGATTATCTATCATGGGATTTTTACTTTCTTCCTATTATTTTTCTCTCAAGATTCTACCCAATATACATAATGAGGTAATTTCTATTTAGTTTTAAATCCACAGCTGAACGGGGATCACAGAAATAACCTCAGCTTTCAAAGACACACAATACTAGATGAAGATAAGGACTGGAGCAGTAAGGTTATATACTTCCCTTACACTCTTGAAAGTTATATAACTGAAAAACTGCTTAGTAAAAATGTTTTACACCCAATCTGACTCACGAATTTAGCTTTATACAGATTATCTCTTCAGGAAGTGACAAAGAAAAGGCTAAGGAATTTCAGTAGATATGAACATGAAATGATAAATTCAAGAGAACTGAAAAAGAGGTTCACCTCACTCAGTCATCAAGTCATATTATCTTCCAAACAGCTTATCTGTTTCTTTGTCTCTGCTCTATTTGTAACTACTTAAGCTCACAATCTCATCTGTCATCGAAAGTATTTCAATGCTTATCTAACTGGTCATCCTCTCTACTTATATTTCACTTCTCCAAACCAACTTCCAAATGCCCCTCTCAATGCATCTCTAAGTGTCGCAACTCTTAAATTCATACATAATTACTTTCATGCACTTATACACACAAATACATATACATCTTCACTGTCTTTCAATTGCTCAGCAGGATAAAAATTAAAACTTCTTCAACATTGTATACAGGACCCAGAGTCTGCATACCTGCTAATGTCATCACCTGTCACCTGTCCACATAAACACTTGAAGTGTCACTTTTTTTTTTTACTGAGTAAATTAAGGGTTTAAATTCCAATTTTGTTATTCTTCAAATATTCCATGCTGATTTCAGCCTCTCCATTACTACATGTTGTGTACTTAATTGGATCCCCCCAAAATTAATATGGTGAAACCCTAATGTGATGGTATTTGGATACAGGGCTGTTAGTGGGGGAGGTAAAGCTAAAAGAGACCCTAAGGGTGAGGCTTTAATCTGATAAAATTGGTGTGCTTAGAAGAGGAAGAGATGCCAGAGTCCTCTCTCTCCCCCTGCTAGCACGGAGGAAGGCCACGTGGGCACACAGGGAAAAGGCAGCCATCTACAAGCCAACAAGAGGGCCCTCCCCAGAAACCAAACTTGCTGGCACCTTGGTATCAGACTTCTCCTAACCTCCACAACCATGAGAAAGAAAGTGCCCACTGTTTCCCCACTCAGTCTGTACTATCCTATTATGGAAGCCCCAAGTAGACTACTACATGGATTGCAACTGTAGCAAATACCTGAACATGTGGATGTTACTTTGCAAATCAGTGATGGGCAGAGGCTTGTAGTGTTTTGCAGTGAACACCTGGGAAGCCTAGGTTGCATTATTATGTGTTAAAAAGGTACAAAAGACTCAAAATGGAGCCACTGGTGTTAAGCCCCACCTAGACTTAATACCTAACCTAACTGCAGTTTCAGCCTGTCCTAGGAGTGGAATTTTAAACCAACCAATCTGGAATTTCCCGAGGAGTCAGCCACTAGTGAGGTAATCTGCCTGCTAAAACCCTGTTCTTTTTCCGAAGGGAAAGTACTATTGTGTGAAATCATCCACTCTCTTAACTTCCTTGCCCCACCCTCCTGCCTATAAAAACTTTCCCTTTTGTACAACTCCTGGAGTTCCTTTCTCCTTGCTAGATGGTATGCTGCCCAATTCAATCACTGAATAAAACCGGTTAGATCTTCGAATGTACTGCTGAGCTTTGTTTTTCTACAAAGAGACCATTGACAAAAATGTGGATGCTAAAGGCAATTCTGGTGAGGGCTCAAAAAGAAAAGAGGAGTTCTAAAGAAGGCCTTTATTGTCTTAAAGAGGACACGTATCATCATGAATAAAATGTTGGTAGAAATATGCACACTAAAGGTTATTATGGTGAGACCCCTCAAATGGAAATGAGAAGATGTTATTGGAAAGTAAAAGAAAGGAGATCCTTGTTATAAAGTGACAAAGACTGTGGATGAATTGTTTTGTAGTGTTTCACGGATGGCAAAATTTGCAAGAGATGAAATTGAGTACTTGCTGAGGGGAATTCTAAACAAGGCGTTGAAGGCACAGGTTTGTTAGGAAGGAAAATAGATATGAGCAGGGTAGAGAGAGAATTAAGGCCAGTAAAGCCCACTATAAGGGACTCAAAATGTTAACCAGTTATAACTAGTGTAACTCCAGTGGGAAAATTCTGGGGCAAAATACCTCTAAAACTGAAATCAGTAAAAGGGAGAAATAAAATTAAGAAACCCATTTATTTATTATAAGCAGTCATCCCATCTCTCTCAACAGGGCTGCAGAACAGAGAACTCCACCCAACCTCTCTGGTTCAGATAAACCCCCAACCACACCCTTGTAATTACCCACTGATATGTAGATGGACTAATTCTCTCCACCCCTTGGAAACACTTATTGATATGTAGATGTACTACAGGAGAGAGATTCTGGAAATACTACCATTTTACGCACAGCTCACCCCTCCAGAAATCTCGCCTCACAATCTACACATGCCCCCTCTTCCGCAGTGGCCCCTGTGCAAGAAAACTGGAACATTGTAACTGAGCTAATAACAAAATAGCAACAGCAATAAAACCATGATAATCCTCAAGCCAGAGGCTTCAGCTTAGGTTCAAAGCGCTAAACAGATTAAGTCCATAGCTTGCCCATTCCTTAGGCAGTCAGTAGCTGAAAAGGTAGGGAGATCAGAGCAATCATCACGTCACAGCTGCAGCCAGGGGGTGCATCCAGGCCACAAGGACTGTAGAAGAAAATGACCTTACAATCTTATCCATCAGGCAGGATACATGCAAGAGAGTGGTCCTGTGATAGGACCTCTCCCTGTGGGGGTTACTGATAGTTCTATATGTAGGGATACAGGAGGCACATGCACTGGCCACAGCTGTAAGATGAAACTCCCTGGTAAGATGCTCTTACCTTCTGGCCTTTTTGGTTACACTACCATCATCTTTGGGAGCCACTCTGCTGTTATTCCACAACAGACAAGAAGCCAGCTTCCAGGCCTTGTCCCTGAGGTGCCAGAAGGACCAGCCATCATTGGTCCATGTGTTGAAATGTCCAAGGCCACGTAGTCTCCAGGTTGCTGTGGGACTCAGTCACACAGTGCACTTCTGACAGGGCTCTGTTGACCTATTCAAAGGTCAAAGGCAGGCCCCACTGACAGGCTATAGCCTACATTGTCTTCTGCCCGAGACAGGCTGTGCTGCTAGCCTATACACCTGGGCCAATGCAAGAGGCAAACAGTCTACAAGGCACTGCCAAGGCCCACCACAGCCATCTTCAGTCACATGGACATCCAGCTCACAGGCCCCAATGGGCCCATTACACTCAAGGCCTGTATGGCCTTGACTGCTCGCTGAGCAACAGTAAAAGCAGCTGCACATGTCTCATCCCAGCCCCACCCCACCCCCCGATGCCCTTTCGTACCAACAAGTATAAGGGCTTCAGAATTTGTGCCAAGTGCAGGATAAACACTCTCCAGTAGCCCAGAAGACCTAAAAACTCTTGTTAAGACTGCCGCAGTGGTAGGGATAGAGAAAGCCTGGACCTTGTGTATGACTGCTTCAGGAATAACTTTAGTTTTACCCAACCAGACAACCCCCAAGAATTTTACAGACAAACCAGTCCCTGAACCTTAGTGCTGTTCACAGCCCATCCTTTCTCCTGTAGATGTTGCAGCAGTCTAGGAACTGCCCCTCCTTTATCAGCAAAAGAATAGTATCTGAGCATACTATCAGCAATGTAATGACACAACTGCCCCGTTTGAGGTTTCTTCCATGTGGCCAAGTCCTGGGCTACAAATCCATGACATGGTGGGACTGTGGAGGTATGCCTGTGGAAGGACAGTTAATGTCCACTGCTGGCCTTCCCACATGAAGGCCAACTGTTCCTGGCTTTCCTGTACTATGTCAATTGAGAAGCACAGCAAGGTCCACAATATAATGATACATGGCCAGTTCAAGACTTAGTGTGTCCATAAGGGCTGCTATAGAGGGGACAGCAGCATGCAATGGGGGGGTGACTTTGACTTTATTCAATTCCCTATAGGGCACCGTCATACGCCAGGAGCCGTCTGGCTTTTTCAAAGACTATGAGTGGGCTTTATGATGCCCACCTTCTCCAACTCCTGTAGAGTTTCTCCAATATCCTTGTGCCCCCCCACCCCCAGGCACTTTATACTGCTTAGTATTTGTCACCCACGGAGGTACAGGCAGAGCTACAGGTGGGTGCTTAGCATGTCCCCTCAGAACTGCCTTTACCACACATGCCCACAGGCTGAACTCCCCTGCAGTGGTCTGCAACCACAGGCCCTGCAGGATATCTACCCCCAAAATATATTCAGGGATGGGAGAAATGTACCCGGTACACTCCTTTGGGGGGTAAACACCCTATCCCCAGTGGGATTTGGGCTTTCTTCACTCTAACTGCCGTACCCTCATAGCCATCTATCATAGCAGGGGTCCCGGGAAAATGCTCAGGGTTGCCATAAATCAAAGGACATTTAACCCGGGTCCACCAGTGCCA